TGATTATGGTAGCACTGAATGTTTTCTTTTCTGTTTGAACTTAGTTTTGACAAAAACATTCACGATCCCACAACCTTTGTGCTCTTCAGAGAGCTTCTCCTGTGTCTCTAACTTCACACTTCACTGAGCAGAGGGAAGCAGCATGTGAGCCGACACATCCTGTTTGCGCAGTAGCATCTTATTCACCAGCACATGTTGAACATTGTCTAATATATTTACCTTGTGTTATATATTGTAATATTTACCTCTGGTTCAGAGCAAACCTGTCAAATATTGTTAAAATGTCCATCTGGAGTGTCTTATTATCCCTGAATGTGATCACACACCTTTTAAATAATGTAAATATTTATTAATTGTGCTGTTTAGAAAGATAAAAAGCTTTAAATCAAATCCATCCATACAATTTATTTACTCCATTTTCCTGTGATAACGAGTGATGTCCGGTTGTTTCCTCGAGATCTCTACTTGTTGTACTTGTTGATTAATTTGTCTCATTATCTTGGGGTAACAAAGTTTGTTTCAGGGGATTTTCTTGGTCCAGTCACTGTGATAGGACAGACCATGACATCCCATTTCCCAACTTAATGAGGTAGGTTAAGTGCATTTCTGTATTTAGTTTTGTGCTTTTGTAACCCTGGAGATAAAAGATAAATACGCTGAGATCTCATGAAAACAACCAGAAATGACCAGTAACCACAGGAAAACACAATAAATAAATTTTTTTATGAATGTATATCTGCAAAGGGCTTCTGTATGTACTGATTATAACAGTTAGGTGTTTATTATTTGTCACTGAACAGAACCTACTGTTGAATTTGAAACTTGAAGCATAAGACCTTGGTAAAAAATATCAAGTGTACAATAAAGATGAAATTATATTTATTCAAAATTGAAGTATTTGTGTTTGGACACTTCAATGATCTCAAAAATGAATTTAATTTTGCCCCCAAATAATTACTCTGTGACTGAGTCACTGCGTTTGGAGATGTTTGCACAGGCCATTTAACTCGGATTTGACCCCTTTACGCTGATTCCCCGATTGATACGCTAACGTTACATATCACATACTGTATATAACATAACTTAGCAGCTCATCACCCTCCAACCAGCATGCTAGCCAGCTAGCTAACCTGAGGGACATCAGTGTCTGACTGAGGTGCTGGATGAGTTTTGAAGTGTTTGTTTTGTAACATCTTTAGCAAACAGGGTAAAGGATGAAGTAAAGGATGTTGTGATTCTCGTGGACAGTAGGCCTCAAAATCTCATCTCTGCTTTTTGAAGATGAGGTCTCGTTGGCTTGTTCAGGCTGAGTACCAAGCAGATGGATTAGGGTCAGAACCTTGGAGGTAACCTTGGTGGAAGTGAGTCTTTACCCCAAGTGAAGGAGTTTAAGTATCTTGGGGTCTTGTTCACAAGTGAGGGTGGATGAGGGGCTGAGCTTGAAGGTTAAGATTTCAGTTTACCAGCCAAACTTCTTTCCAACCCTTACCCCCTGTCATGAGCTATGGGTGATGACTGAAAGAATAAGATTGCATATACAAGCGGCCGAGAAGAGTTTTCTCGTGACGGTGTCTTGGCTCAGACTTAGAGGTAGGGTGAGGAAGCTTGGACATTCTGGGGGGAGCTCGGAGTGGAGCCGCTACTCCTTCGCCTCCCTTTGTGGGCTTTCTGGGCATGCCCAACTGTGAGGAGACCCTGGGGTATACCCAGAGATTGCTGGAGAGATTATGTATCCAACTTGGCCTGGGAATAACTTCGAATCCCTAAGGAAGAGTTGAAAATGTTGCTGGGTGAGGTGAAATCTGGGTTGATTCACTAAGCCAGTTGCCACCGTGACCCAATCTCTCATGAGGAGAAGAAAACGGATGGATGGAATAATGGACAATGAGCTACAAGGTAATGTAACATTAGCTTACTTGAAGTCATAGTTTTGTGTTATCTTCTAGTTCTATCTTCTTAGCTCTACTATTGCCTGGACTTGGACACCATGTAAAGTCTGTTAATTAAAGTTCAGAGGATCATTTCAGGAGTATAATTTGGACTAACCTTATGTGAGGGAAATGTTTGGTTTTTTTGCCCACTTGTCTCTTTTTAAGGCTCAGTATGAAAACAGAAGTCATCATGAGGGAATGGATGCCACATAAACAGTGGAATGAGGTAAGCGACTCATCTTACAGTCTAATATGACTTTTATGATATAAATATAAAGATAAAGATAAACTTTATTGATGCCCCCGTGGGGGAAATTTGTGTATAATAATGTAATAATGTAATAATGCAAATATAATGCCTTTCTTAAGAACCCTACATGGAGTTTACTGCTTACTATTGACTCCATAACGTGTGTAATGATTAATTTGTTGTGGTTGTAACACTTACTGTAAGGAATAGATTTCATTTTCTTCATTTCCCGGGTATGACACACATGTAATAAATCTCCTTTATGAATCTGTTAATATTATATTAGTTCAACAATACCAGATACCAGCCAAGGGTGTACCCCGCCTCCCGCCCAATGACAGATGGAGCCGATCACAGCAGTCATTGGGTGAGAGGCGGGGTACATGGCTCTACACAATCTCCTGTCCAACGGTCGGTGTCTCAGAGAAAATTATCAGAATGAAACGAGGACAAAAAGTCGAAGGCCATGATAAGATTTAGGTACAAATCCCTCCAGAGACCTAGAACTTTCTTAAATGCTTTTTTCTGGATGTCATTTTCTTCTTGTCTACGAAATTCAATGGCGGCATCTGTGAATTCTGATACAGATACAAAACAATTTAAAATGTTATTTTAAGGAATCAGGAAATAAGTTATAAGGAAAGCACTGCACTTTTTGTGCAGACACAAAGTGTCTCTTTGTGGTTTTTTTTATGCTAGATTCCTGGAAAGCCCTTGCCTTCCCATTTCCTCAATGTGTTACAACAATGCAATGCACAGTTACAATGCAGGACATAAATCGAACAAATTTCCCTTCAATGTGAACGTGAGCTGATAGCTCTGTTTGAATTTTAACCAAAGGGATCGTGTCTCAGGGAATAAAAATCTTGGCGTCAATCAAGATTTTTATTCCCTGACTCACGGAAAAGAAACAACACGTCCAAACTAAGGTTCACTTACAAGTCATCTAAACACACAAGCATGGTGGCCATGAAGGATCAACACAGTATTTGTTATTCAGTTTGGCAAAAGGAGGGGACGTTTGAGGGGCTGATGCTACTTTCCAATGAGGGAGACAAACGGGTCAAACTTACTTCCTATTCTTGTATAACTGGGTACTCACTTTGTACAATTAAGCCTCCATATAGTGTCTTTTTAATCTCTGCCTGTTTGATTTGAGCTTTTTTGATGTCTTGTCTTTATGTGCCTGAATGTTTTTTGTCCAGTGTTTTATGTAACGTCTTGACCGTGATTGCAGCTGCTGTAACTTTAATGTTATGCAAAGGATTAAAACAGTATCTATCAATCTATCTAGATTAGGTCAAGGCGGCCTCAAACAGGTTGCCAAGTTGGGTCGATGATAATAAAGTTATGTCAGCACTCCTAAGATAGCCTACACAGCCATTTTGAACATATAATATCTAGCTTACTGACAGGCCGCCAATAGCCATCATCTAACATTATCTCTTTATCGGAACGTTCATTGATCTAAAAAGACACACAACAACAATCAAACAATAAATAGACTTACACATCTTAAGCATTTAATCTCTCTGCAACCTTTTACCAAGCTGTCTCCTCTGATTTGATCTTGACTTTTCTATGTTCTTCATTCATAACAAATGTTGATCGGCCACAGAAAAGAAGAATACGGCTCTAATTTTTTTAGACGTTGTGTTGTCTCTTCGACTATCGACTCTTCTGGACTTCTCATTCATCCCATGAACTTGAGCACTTCAGGATTGTTCATGCCTGGCTGGAGTTAGTTTGAGTCGTGTAATGGGAACGGGTTGAGGCTTAAATGAAAGTTGAAGCTAGTTTTAACCAGGCCAATTCAAGTAAACTCAGCCTTTGTTAGCTGCTTTCTTTGAATTCTTCTAGATGCCCAACATTGGCAAATTTCTTGTTAAATCACAAAAAACAATGCAGGCAAACTCCTAAAAATCTAATTTAAACAAGTACATTGGAAAACGTGTTGGTGCATATCAATGAAGCGCAACAACAACCAAAAACCAGAGCACCCTGATGAAAGAGAATTACAGTAATCCAACCCGGAGGGAACAACGCAAGAACTAGTTTTTGCGACAGGATATAATTTAAGAGATGTTACGAAGTTGAAAATAGGCTGTCCTTGAAATTAGTTTGATACGAGAGTTGAAGGAAATATCTTGATCAAATAAAATTCATAGATTACTAACAGTGGTGCTGAATGACAGTTTTTCATGAGAACAAGTGAGATTAGATTAGATTAGATATACTTTATTGTCCCAGGGGCAAAAGTGCAGAGAAAGTATACACAGCTCTGCACAATTTACAATAAACACACATAACACGAGACAGGACAAGCATGAAACAGCATCAATAAATGCATTCCCTCTTCATTTTAGAGCTGATTCTGACGTTACAAAGTTATAAAAGGGCAGGAGGTTACTCATTTTGTCTCTTAATTTATATCATTAAAAAAGCTCATGAAATCGTTACTGCTGAGGTTAGGTATCTAGGATAGTTTTTATTTTCATTCGATTAGCGAGGCGTAGTTGGCGGCTTGAGCGTGTCGTAGGGCCTTCATTGATTTATTTATAATGACTGTCTTGCCAAAGTTTTTTGGGGGGGGGCGGGGGTAGTCTGGTGACAAGTGGAGTCTGGTAGGAGGAAGTCAAGTGTTGCAAGAATTGATCTGATAATTTCTGGAATGATTTAAGTTTTCTGTTTCAAGGTCTTATGCTCGAACAAGGTCCAAGGTGTGGCTAAAACAATCAGTGGGTTTGTTTACACCCTGGGTAAAGCCATAAGAAGACAAGCCCGTGGCATGAAGGCTGTGCTGAGGCTCATTATGAAAGTCATTGATGATTATTATCACATCAGTTTAATTATGGTGTTTGGGAAACTGCTCTAAAGAAAGCACAGAGGAGCGTATAAGACCGAACTTCTGCCCCCTTGTCTCAACTTCTGCAAAAGGGCATTATGGTTATGTGAAAGAAAAATAGAAACAATCCTTGAAATGTGTTTGTATGACTTGAAGTGTTTTAACATGACACCTTGTCTACATTTTCTGTATTTTGTATTAAGGTCTGAAAACCTGCTTTTAAAGCTTCTAAGCCATTAAAGAGCATCAAATCTCCCATTGAGATAAGTCACAAGGGTACAAAGTGGGAGGATACAGACTGGCATCAGGATGGGTTGAGCTTCAGCCTCTCTAAAAAGGGTGATTCACCGCGGAGAGCAAAGAGGAGGCCACCAGGCTCAGGTGTAATAAAGATGTGGACGTGTAGGAAGCGAGTGAGAGACACCTGAGAGAGACACAGGAGACACGAGGAAGGAGTACCAGTCTCCCACAGGATCTGATACGGACTTAAACATTGATTCAATACTCTGAATAAGTTTGTAGTATCAGTTGTGTTTTAGTTTTCCAAAAACATGGCAGCTACCTGGAGATTTGCACTTTTCTTCTGCATGTGCCTGATAGTGTCAAGATGCCCGAGCGACGCCAATTCAGACACCGGACATGACAGTGCAGACACTGGACGTGCATCTATCCCAAGCTCAGACTCTGGACCTGTGCAGCCTGGAAACGAGGGAGGTGGTCATTCAAAGCCCATCACCACTCTTCCTATTGTGAGCTGGAAGTGGCCCCATGTGGCCGAACCGTACTTAGTGGCCCTCTGGATCCTGGTCTGCTGGATCTGCAAACTCAGTGAGTCCCAACAAGTCTTGTCCATTCAGGGATGATCCTCTGATTACACACTTTGCTCTAATTCATTATAACTCCAGGCTAAAAGTAATGCAAAGCAGTCATGTAATATACCTACCATCGTAATATTTTGATATTTAGAGTAAATATTGTCCCGCATTAAAATGGAGTAAGAAAGTAAGGTGCCTAAAAAGAAAAAGTTGACCTCCCTACCTCATTCAACAGTATGTTTAAACTAAGAAATATAGATGTAAAAATGAATCAATTACACAATGTTTTCATCATCAATATTTCAGTTTTTAAAATGAACTTTTGTGAGGAACTTTTGGTTCCTGTTGATTTTGGCGCCCCCTGTGGACAAAGCAGTACCTACTATTTATTTGCTCATTTTGCCCTGTACATTTATTTATTCATGTATTTAATGAATTATAACAGTGAACATTCATCAACATATCAGCAAATAGCATCTATGTAAATATGCCGGAATTAGCACAAAAGCCAAATTTAATCCGTAGTCCTAAGGCAGGTATTACAACAAAACATAGGACAAATGTACAATTACAGGACACCTCAAAGGACAGTCTACAGACACATGAGCACTCAGACAATTTTACAAACAAGTTGGACACAATAGTCAAATAAGAAATAACAGACACCCGGATGAGCCCAAAGCCCCCGGGGAACAGATACCAACAGATATTATATTTGAGTACATGACTGGTTTGTTTTCACCCAATGTTTGACCTTGCATGTGTAAGTAGTGTTCTTAAAATCTTACTTACTTTATTAAATTATTTATATTTTACAGGCAAATGTATTAGCCTACTCATTAGAAAAGAAAGAAAGAAAACCTTGCTGTGAAAAATTTTGTTTTGCTAGTTAAAACTTTTTTCTCTCACCTAACTCGCTGCAGAGGTTTCAGGCATTTATGACTATAAATCTTGTTTTCTTGTGTTTTTCATAAAGAGCCAAGTGTATTAATGTCAGTCTTTTTTTTATAAGCAGTTAAAAACTCCTTACAAGGAGAAATACATCAAACTCAAATTGAACATTCAGATGTGCCAACACAGAGCTCGACCTCTGTTCACCTTATGAAGTACTTGCCTTGTCCTATAACGTGATCATTAGCGTTTCATGTATACACAACAGAGGAAAATGGTTTGCAGCACTGTGGACAATGTCAATGAATTAGCGTGTGTGTGTATGTATTTGTGTACACATTCACTGACAAAAATATGGGACTGTATATGAAGCAGGAAATGACTCTGTGAATAACCAAACAGTGAAATCTGACACAGCTAAAGTGACATCAGTGGTAACATTCGATTAGTCAGTTTTGGCAGCTTCATTGTTAATCCGCATAGATGTGACCAAGTTACGAGTGAGCATGCGTGGAGGTGTGATATGGCATGGTATGAGAATAAACAATAAAACGAGTGTGCAAAATATAGTCTTCCTGTCTGAACTTTGGCTAGAGCTACATTAGACAGGTAAACTTATTGATAAGATAACGCCAGGGTGAGTCTACCTATGGAACAAAAAGAACACCATCCAACATGTACATAAAACAAACAGTGAACCGGCCAACTTACTGCTCACCACATCGAAGCAATACGCCCTTTAAGCTCTATGATGTAATATAATTATTACACTATTAGGAGAAAAATGTTTTGCCTGCTCCATAATGTAATAAAAAGTTATTAGGTTTTGGGCTCAGCATCCTGTTACATTATTGACCAGTTATTACATTTTGGGTTTTATTACATTTGTATTTGTCAGATTTCGGGTCGTTGTTACATTTGGGGCTCTTACACTCCTCCTTACCTCTTCAATTGACATTCAAGCAGAAGGTGTTGTGCAGAAACAAAGTATGAAGTGGTTAAACGCACGACTAGAAACTCAAGTGTAAACATCCTCAATTTGTGATTTCATCAGATTTGTCCTACAGAATTTGCAGCATGAACAAACAATCTCCCGAACTTTAGATTGAGTTGGTTTAAGATGCCTTTCTGGATGGTTTAACATGAAGAAAAAGATTAATAAAAAACCACACTCTCTTCCCTTCTTCTCTACTTTCAGTCATCGAGGCCAGCCACCGCATCACCGCGGTGATCCCAGAGAGCGCTCTGCTCATCTGCTTCGGCTTCATTTTTGGCGGGGTGATTTGGGCTGCAGACCACTATCAGGAATTCACGCTGACCCCGACAGTGTTCTTCTTCTACATGTTGCCTCCAGTCATCCTGGACGCGGGATACTCCATGCCCAAAAAGCTCTTCTTCAGCAACATGGGGGCCATCCTGGTCTACGCGGTCATCGGGACCTGCTGGAACGCCGCCACTTTGGGGCTGTCGCTGTGGGGGTGTCACATGGCAGGGGCCATGGGTAAGAAGGACTTTTGCTTTATTTTATTCAATTAGGTTTCCTCTAAGAGAGTGACAGATTGACCCAAAAGATTTTAAGATCACATTCTGCAGTCTACTTTTCTAACCAGTGAGCCAAGCTGCTGTCAGGTGTCAAATCCATAAATTCAAGCCTGATTGATAGTATCCCCTGCCCCGTGTGCTGTAGGTGACCTGGAAATTGGGCTGCTGGAGTATCTTCTCTTTGGCAGTCTGATTGCTGCCGTTGACCCCGTAGCAGTCATCGCCGTGTTCGAGCAGGTCCAAGTCAACGAGGTTCTGTTCATTTTGGTGTTTGGGGAGTCGCTGCTCAACGACGGTGTGACAGTGGTGAGAACGTTATAAGATAAGATAATCCTTTATTTATCCCACAACGGAGAAATTTACATTGTTACAGCAGCAAAAAGCAAAGATTGCTAGCAAAAAGTGAACCCAGTACGATTTAAGTAAATAAATAAATAAATAAAAATGTACAAAAAAATAGATAGATACCACAATGTAGATTTTAAAAAATAGATCAGCTGAGCTGTAGTTTTGACAAAAAGAAAAAGGTGCTGTGCTTCACATTTTATGTGTATCCTTAGAAGTAAAACAGTTTGTGAGTCTGCACTTCAAAGTTAGGACCCTTTACCCTAACTGAGGACCTTCACTGATATGATCAATAACTGATCAAAGTGCTCTCATAGGCGGCAGATCTAATGAAAAATATTGCTTTAATTTGTTGACAAATGTTGAAACTCCATTCAGTTTATTCCTAAATCTACAAGAGGTGATGGAGTATTTATTCTGATACCTCTTCAAGGATATTTTTGTAGATTTTTTTTTTCTTTCTTACTGACATTATGGGAAAGTGTATCTTTATATATCAAACACACATGTCTGCCAAAAGTCCCAAAAGTACCTACCAGAGGTGTAAATATATGACAGGAAGACAAGCATGTGCAAGTGGGGATTGATCTTGTCTTTACCAGTTTTTTTCCCCAAATGCCATCATCCTCTGCATCTTGTCATTTCCATCCATCCATTTAGAGTTGTGCTCTCCTTGTAAGAGTCTTTCTATCAGCTCCCAACAGTACTCTTTAACCTTTAAAAAAGCAACGCAGTGTCATTTTAGGATGCTTCAGATATTCAGATTTTTCTATTCTGCCTTTTCTATACATCTCTTTTTGCATTTCCTTCTTCTGTTTAGGTGCTGTTTAATGTATGCGATGCCTTTGTGTCGCTGGGAGGATCTGGGATTGACGTTGTGGAGATCATTAAAGGAATAGGTAAGACCTTTTCACATTAAAAGAGATATTTTTAATTCAGCAATGCATTTACCAAGAGACACAGAGTTAAAGATCAAAATGTTTGTCATACAGCGCAGGGGTTCCCAAGCCTTCGACTGGATAAATATATATCACCTAGATAACGTATGATCATGAGAATAACTTTGCCTATATGTTTCCTCTTTCTCTCTCTTCAGTTTCCTTCTTTGTGGTGGCGTTTGGCGGGTCTCTTGTGGGCTTGGTGTTTGGCCTGCTGATCTCTCTCGTGACCAGATGCACCAAAAACATTCAAATCATCGAGGCGGGCTTCGTCTTTGTCTTGGGTTATCTCTCCTATCTCACAGCTGAGATGCTCTCCCTGTCCGCCATCCTGTCGTGAGTACTCCATGTTTGTTTTGCAATTTCTTTTTCCATTTTATCACATTTGCAGCAGGATTTGTTGAAGGTCAAGCTAAGTCCTTTTCAATTTGCATACTCCTGCTTTTTGTTTTGTCCTGTAGGATTGTCTTCTGTGGTATGTCCTGCAAGAAGTACATCAATGCAAACATGGACGAGCGGTCTGTCACCACAGTCAGATTTGTCATGAAGCTCTTAGCGAACGGAGCAGAAACGATCATCTTTGTGTTCATTGGCATTTCCGCCATCGACAAAGTGATCTGGGGGTGGAACACGGGCTTCATCTTCCTCACGCTGTTCTTCATTTTTGTGTACAGATTCATTGGTAAGATTTGCATTTTGTCGTCAATAATATTCTCACTATCTGGTACCAGGGGTTAGAAAACAGACTGGTTGTGTTTGGTTCAGGTGTCTTCTTCCTCACCTGGATCCTTAACAAGTTCAGGCTGGTCCCCATTGGGCTCATTGATCAGGTGATTATGAGCTACGGTGGCCTGCGAGGGGCTGTTGCATTTGGCTTGGCCACCATGCTGGATAAAACAAAGATAAAGGAGAAGAATCTGATGGTCTGCACTACTCTCATTGTTGTGTACTTCACTGTCATTATTCAGGTAAAAACATATCCAAGCTCCAAATGTTTACTACTACATTTAGAATTTTTCTACTTTCTTACAAAACAGCTTAGTTAGTTTTTTTGTTTGAATCTTCTTCTGCTGTAGGGAATAACAATGAAACCTTTGGTCAACTGGCTTAAAGTGAAGAAAGCTGCAGTGGCTGAGGTTGCGCTCGTCGAAAAAATGCAGGACAAGGTAAAGCTCAACATCAAACATTGCTTTTTACAGAAACAGAAGAAAAAACTACAAATCCTTTATACTGGATCTTTCATTTGTTTTAGGTATTTGATCACCTGCTTGTTGCCATAGAAGACATATCTGGACAAAAAGGACACAACTACTTGAAGGACAAGTATGTTCATTAAAAACTTGAATGCTGCTTTGCTTAATACATTTTTTTAAATTGACTGTAACATGTTTACTTCTCTCACTTTGAAGGTGGCATCATTTTGAGGAGAACTGGATGTCCAGAGTTCTGATGAAGCCGTCAGTGAGGAAGAACCACGACTACGTCTTCAACGTCTTCCACCAGCTGAACCTCAAAGATGCTATGAGCTACGTGGCTGAGGTGAGGGTTGTTTGTTTTACATGTTCTTTTCTTTTAGTAACGTTTAACTGAATCAGGCACTTAGCCTTTCCTAAGGTGGGAAATTTGGAATGTAAGATAATCGTACTTTGTCTTACAGGGTGAACGTAGAGGCTCCCTGGAGTTTATCCGCAATGAAAGACCATTCATCAATTTCAAGAAGAAGTTTGGCCAGGAGTTGTCAGAAATCATGCCTGACTTCACAGCTAACATGTCTGACGATCAGGGTGGAATGTCCAATGGGAGGTCAGAAAACTGTCACCCAATTTACATCAGAATCACAGAAGAACTTTTTTCTAGATGCTGTACCGAAAATTACGAATGTAACCATGGTCCTCTGAACCCTGGATGAGGCAATTCTTTTCACTGGAAATATCCATCTCTCACAAGCATAGGTTGAATATTGATATCAACAAAGTCCAGTGTTACCTCTGGACAGGTATAACTGTGGGTGCCTTCTGAGCACAGTCTACTCGTGTCTCACAGATTCTGAGTGGCTGAGAACACTAGCAGTCACCCAGGTTTCATAGGGTAGGTCCCATGCTGGCGTTCTTGGTGCATTCAGGGGACGCAGTTTCAGGGTCCCCTTCAAAAACAGGGACACCAGCCTGTGGCCATCAATGTCTACATGCTTCGAGGAGATTTTCTGCAGCTTATACCTCTATGGTCGGACTTCAGAATCATAGGGACAGAGCAGTGTACTGAGTAGGTGTACTGGGAAGGCGACAGGGCGTCCCACAGCAGAGTCTGTGCAGTAGGCTAGTGAAAAACCAAGTCCTGGCTGGGCAGAGGCAGGCAACCAGAAGGCTACCCAGGAAAGCAAAGCCTGCTACACTTGCAGCAACTGTGCAGACCTGGTAACCACTTGATGGTTTATATGAAACAGACATGTTGTCTGACCATACTAGCACGTGTTTCCTTCTCAGATATGGCAGGAGGTCCTTGAGTGCGAGATGCATGGCTTGAAAGAGTTGTGGTTGTATCAAGTCAACTTTGGTTATATTCTTTAATAGTTATATTTAATTATTAATAATATAAATAACAATATCATTAAACTATGTTTAATCAACTCTTGGGGCACCACCCTGTAATCAGGGAAATATAACCAAAATAGCACTCAAATCAGTCTCAAATTAGTTATTTAATTACTAATATTATTAATAATTAATAACTATATTTAATAAATTGAAGGCGTGAAATCCGTACACAAAGCCCTTGCACCCAGCTTATATCACAATGCAAATACATCAGTAATCACAAACAACTGCTCTCTTAAATTAAATTTATTTAAACAAAGCAACATCAATCCAAAATCAATGAACTGATGCGTCGTCTGATCCAAAATGAGTCTCAGCTCCCAGCTCACCTAGGGTCTTGGTACACATTTTACGTGATAAAATGGAACCACAGTGGATTACTGTTAACAAAGCCGTTAAGCTAAACAAAGCTAGATCAACACAAGAGCAAATCTTATCTAGGTTTCCCAACAGATCACTGCAGTCTATCCTGGAAGCTAGGAGAGGGGATTCACACCTCAAGCCCTCAAAGAAAGGGAGGAACTCACAACTCTCAGACAATGGCTATGCAACAATGATGAGGTTACACTCTCAACTGGAAAAATGGCTAAACTGTTGTCTCAAACAACAAAGAGCACACAAAAATTAAAGCAACAAACTAGTTCATTAAGAAAGTCACCCTGGCTGCATCATTATGTTCAACAACATACGACACAAACTAAGCCATAGCTTGCTGTCTGTTTTGAATAAACAACAAGCAAGAAAAGTAAATCTTCAAAAGAAAAGACAATTTTTTTTCACAATGCAAATACATCAGTAATCACAAACAACTGCTCTCTTAAATTATAGCAGAATTTATTTAAACAAAGCAACATCAATCCAAAATCAATGACACCAACAAACATTATCAAGCAAGACTTGTGAATGAGGTGTAAAAGTGTAGTTGTGTGTGTGTATGTGGATGAGAGAGAGAGAGACAGAGAGAGAGAGAGAAAACAAGATGGTAGGAGAGAGACAATGCACCATGTGGCTTCGTCACATGGTGACAAAATGGTGAACAAAGGAGGAAGGAAGCCGTGTGGCTACCTTTTGAAATAGTTTGAGCTCTCTGAGCTGAGTTCAGTAACTGTTACTTAAACACCAGAAAGCCAGTGGCCAGACTTTGATTCAACGGCGGGTACACTGGTCTTTCTGATTGTGAAAGCCGTTGACTGAAGGTAAACTAGCATAGCATTACATACATAGGCGAACACAGCGGTTCATCACAATAAAACAAATGCAGCAGCTTACAACAGATAATAAACAGAAAGAAACATAACTATTTCTGAAACTATTTCTGCCCAGACCAAAGCTCTTACTTGGGGTAACTCCTGGTGACCGTTGCAAAGTTGGTTAGATCGTCACTCTGTTGAATATTAAATCAACAGATTCAGGCAGGGTTCCTTCGTGGCAGATGAAGGTGAAGAGGCAGTGAAGAGCTACCTAGACTGAACAACCTCAGCTCTGGAGTTTAACCTATGTAAGCCAAGAGGAGGAAAGGGTTTGTCTCAAGTGCTGGAGTCCATCTTGTTGGAGAGTGTGTCCTCTGGTGTCAGCAGACAACACTTGAAGAGTTTATCCTCGGGTGTCAGCAGACAACACTTGAAGAGGAGGAAGCAATGCCTGGCGATTGCGTTTAAAGACTGGAGCTGCCTGTGGGTTTACCTCAGGCCTCCTCCAATGAGGATAGAGAACCCCACTTTTCACACCTATTTGTTAGTTTCTGTTGGGGGTTTGCTGGGCTAAGACTCCTTTGTTTAGTTACCTCCAAAATAACTCTAGTCAGGCTTGAGAACTGCGATACAGGCCTGAGTCCTTTGTCCAGCAAACATGGCTGAGGCCCAACAAAAGTATAAGCTGTGTGTGAACTGGCCCCCTCTGAGCCGACACTAGGTTGGATCTAACTTAGAAGAGCTTGATACCTCTTTAACTAATTAGCCAAATCAATTGTAATTTTCTTGCTGACAAAACTGTATCCGCACTAACAAATAAATGAATAGTAAGAAAAAGTGAAATGATTGCGTGTAATAAAGGTTAAAAAGTAATTGACACCTGTATTGTTTCTGCTGTAGGAGAGACCCTTCGCGGTCTGTGAGCCTGGAGATGCACGAGCAGACAATGGACGGTGTGAGGGAATTAGAGGACATCAGAACTCACCACCTGCTGCAGCAGCACCTTTACAAGGGCAGGAGACAGGTCAGCACATTGAGTCACATGGTGTTGTACTTCCTTTTAAATTGGATAACTCAAAAGAACATCCTGTATTTCCTTGGTACTATGCCACAAGACCCTGAAACCCTACAATTCCCACAATGCACTGCAAAATTATCTTTTAATTGAGGCAAAGTTAAATCAATCGTTGTTTTCAAACTTAAGAAGCAACTGAAGATGTTGTACAACATTGTTTATTGTCAAAGTCTTATTCAACATGAGAAGTGCATGTTATGTGTAAAAGTGATGGAGTGTCCCTTTAAGAAAATTCTCTGAAACTTTATCATAAACTGTCCGGATGAATGTCAGCTTTAAGACCTGTTTTTCCATTTTAGTTATCAAATATCACATCCGAAATTTAATACAGATTTTGACTTCTGTTTCCTGGTTTTCAGCACCGGCATGGGTACAGCCGGACTCATTTGGATGTGAACAGAGATGAAAACGAGGTGCAGGAGATCTTACAGAGGACCATGAGGAGCCGTATTGAGTCTCTTCAGTCTTCAAGGATGAGTACTCCTTCACCGAAGATGATTACCAGGCACACAAAGAAAGACCAGCAGCATAAGGTCCAAACCTCAAAATGAATCGCACTAATTGTTTCTATTAACATAAATTTTGCCAAATCTTGTTCTATTTGATTCAAACAGTTTATGTTTGTTATATTGGGTTAAAATCACGTCTAGAACAATACATCTTTGTTGATTTGTGCAACAAACATTTTTGCAGAAGAGAACAAGATTATATTTATCAAATTTAGGTCTTTGAAAATATCATTTTGGTTGTTTTGTACCCTCTCATATGCATTAATAAAAATAATGTACAAATATACATCATTTTGATATTTTAGCCCAAATCTGCATCAGTGAATGATACC